TTCAGGATTACAATCCTGAAAGCTTGTTGCAAATGCAAACTATCATTTTCCATCAACAAATGCAAACCATCAGCTTCTCAGTAGTCAAGCATTTTAAACCTTGCATACTAGTATTGATGATAGCAATTAACTGATTTCCCCTCTTTTTCAATGCTTCTATGCATGCTGATAAAAGATCAAACTGGAAAGAAAAAAAAATTAAATTCTTTGTTTCTCACCTCTTCTAGATCTTTACAGAATCACTGTACCAAGAAACACAGCTTTAGCAACAGGAAACAGCTACAGCTAGAAACAACTGAAATTGCATTTCACATGCTACACTCAATACACAAGTTTTATCAAGTTAAAAAGTTGTAATCAACTATTGACAAATAAAAAGTACTGACAGGTAACTTACAGTGGAAAACCAAAAAGTGGGCAAGAACCCACAGACAACTCCATGAAACTATCTTAACCATAACCCTGCTTAAATAAAAGGTTAACTTCTTCAGGTAACCAAACCACCTCTGATGGCTCACATCCCACAGTCTACTGACACCATCACACATCAGGAACGCTACAGTCTGTCGCTGGTAAATCACAGCTTATTCAAAGTAAGGCACTTGCACTGTAACCAGGTAATAAAGAACAAAATCTGACTTGACCATGAACAAAGCACTACAGATGGTCTTTGCTTCAAGAGGAGGCAGAGAGGAGTCAATCAAAAGCGAGCCCCCAGTTGTCCTGGCTCTGAAGAGGTCCCCCAGCACTCCAGGAAAGCAGCACAGTTCAGTTTTACTACAGGTCCTGCTCACTTTAACAGGTGACACTTCACCCTTGAAAAGAGATCTCAGATAACTCTAGGATAATCAGTGTATTGATGGCTTTCATCATCTTTGGGAATAACACCCCACTATTTGAAGTTTTCCTTTTTAAAATAAAGTGTAAATACACATCAAGTGTAGTGAAAGAAAAAGCACTACTTAGCAAATGCATACAGCAAAAAACACAATAAAATTGCATCACTCACAGAGCCTCGAATAAACTCTTTGATTCCAAAACTACAAAAGTACCATCGGCAGAAAGAATGCAAAACTTCACCTCCCTACAAACCCATTTAGTGCATGGCAGGCTACCTGCCTCCAGAAGTCACATCTACTCTCTGAAGGTTCACAGTAGAAAAAATTCAGATAGCCTTGTGCAGCTGGAGGCTGTTACCTTACAGAATCTAAATTCTTCCAATCGAGTAGTATAAAACTGCATACTTTGTTTTATTTGTGCAGTTCTAAACTCCACAACTGGAAAAATTTAGAAATTAACTACTATTTATGTCTATTAACTGAAACATCCTTTGCATTTTGTTGGGGACATAAAAAAAACCCAAACAATAAAATTCTATATAAAAAAAAATTGGGGTTATAATTATTTTTATAATGTTGCTGCAATACATAAGGCTCTTAAACATGTTCAAGAAGAGAAACTTCTACATTTTTTATATTCCTGTCCTCTGTTCCATCTTTTACTCAATGTACGTATTTAGAAATCTGCTTTAAACATAGTTAGCTAATAAGAGCTCTAAACATTTCTTTTCACAAAAGATATACCAGATCCAACACCACATTTATCACTATACTGAGTCTGATGTAAAGTAAACCAAATAAGGTAACAGTCTTATTTGAAAGAAAAATCAAGCAAAAGCTGTTCAAAAACAATACAGCAAGTTCCCCCAATACCGCAAATGTTTCATGCAAGAGACAACTGCAAACCAGAAAGCTAGAAATAGATTAATTCATCTGCTGAATGTATACTTTGAAATCATGCATAGGAGATCAAATTATGTGTCAGCAAGGAATCAAAACAAACAATTTAAAAGCTGACACCCAAGCCACAAGAAAAGAAGTATGTTCATTTAAAGCAGCCCCATTACCAAAGCTATTGAAACAAAATAAATAACACCCACAGTAACAGCTGGGAGATCACGAAGCTCCTGTCTTCCTTCTGTCCCAGTGTGCTCATTCTGGTAATGTTCAGACAGATCAGTGGGAGTTACATATACTTTCATACATAGTGGACAGATGAAGCCCTGTGAAATGTATATTTGTTTTTAAGAAACTAATAAAGAGACACAAGCAGATTTGGAATCAAATGTTGTTCAAATTCTTATGCTGACACTTCTCTACAGTCACCAAAAGCAAAGTCTGTTTTCCTTTCGGAAAGACATTTTTTGCAAACCACATATCAATATCATGGAGAACACAAGAAGGAACAGTTATTAAGAACATGAAGATAAACAAATCTGAAACACACTAAAAACCAGCACCACACTGCATACTACCATGTGTTTTCCAGACACTCTTGGGTCCCCCTTCATACGACTGAGGAATCAGCTGCATCACAAATTTTGAATGGACCATTATGAAGCATCATGTCAGATCCACCACACGGTTTCCCATAAGGGCATTCAGATGTTTCACAGAGAGAAAAGGGTGGTATGTTAAGACTGCAGAAATACCTTTGTAAATTAATTAAAGCAAGTTTGTAGCAGCAGGAGAGGCCTAGGCACCAGCACAGCTGCACACCTGGCCAGCATGCTTACTCAGGATAAAATATGCACCTTCTTTGGCAGCATTTAACAAAAGAAACTCAGAATGCTCACCAGAAATTTACCAAAGCCAATAGTTAAATCGGTTTCTGAAGAACAGCAGCTTTATATCTTCAAGACACACACTACATGCTTAAACACCTAGAAAAAGCAGGGTGGAGAGTAAGGTGCTCTGGGCATCTGTTCACACATGGCTGGAAGATGCCTGCACCTCACCAGCAGAGCACTACACAGGCAGGCAGAATAGCCTGAACACAACCTTCCATGCATGTATGGGAAGGTTAAGGCCCCTCACAAAGAGGATGTCTGTGGCAAATCTGTCTTGCTAACACAGCCATGCCACACTAATGAAAGTGTAAACATGCTGGTGGACTCGCTGCAAGTATGGAAAATTCAGCAACCCTGTACTGCAGACGGAGTTGCACTGGGACCTATCTTACAGCTCAAACTTTTCCTCCTTGGGCAGATTGCACAGTGAATAAAAGATATATCTAGTCTTGAACACAGGTCCTATGTGTGCTCTGAAGTGCTGACGTGGCTACAGACAGGACTAAAGCAGATTTTCACCTCTCCTTGAGCAAGGAACAGTGAGTTCAGGCTTTCCCACTCCTTTTTGTTTCATACTTACAACTCTCAAAAAACAGAATGGATTTCAACCAGGTTTGAGGAGGTAGGAAACATGAGAATCTGCACAGATTTATTAATTATCCTCCATTTAAATCTTGCAGCAATACAAATTAGAAAATCTATCCAAGAAACTGGAGTGAAAACAAGTCCACTGGAGTTCTGACTAGGTAACACTGGAGAACCAGGTTGGAACATAACAATGAAATGGAGAGCAAACATTCTGCAAAGTCTGGCTATGATGCTGCTGGAGATAAGCTCTGAGACACCACCTCAGGCCAGCTGTGAAGGAAAAGGAAGACTAACAAGAAGGCTTGAGTTGTGTGCTGTAACACGTGAATCTTGGGAGAGTAAAAACCCATCATCAGCTTTGGAGCTCAATTTCAAACAGATTTTGAAATCATATGCTAAGAGAACACCCCACTTGTAACTAATGCAACGGATGGTGGAATTACTGATAATCAAAAGATGCTTTTTCACATTATACAGTACCGACCAAAAGTGAAAGCAGCCTTTGATCTGACCCCATTTCGACTCAGTAGCGAGAAAAGCCAATGGTGCAATAGTGCAGGCACACCGACACACTTTGAAAGCTCATCATATGTCAAGGAAATACTACTACATTAGTATTGTAGTACCTTGTGACACCCATCAGCTGTACAGTAAGTGATACTGCACTCTTGTTAACAGAATTGTGCAATTTTAGCCAAACTTTGGAAAAAAGTGATGGTCTCATTGCACATTTGTATGTTTTAATTAACTACAAAAGTAATGAGATTTTAGTCTGCAATTTAGGAATATTTATTTGCTTCAGGGACGGTGTAACTATGCATACAAAACAGATTTGGACTCACAAATGCGTGACTTGTATAACATGCAGCAAAATATTAAGTAATGTCTGATTATACTGACTCTAATAAGGCTTCAAGAAATAAGAAATATGCAGATGCATGGATGGAAGGCAATTAGGATTTTAAACAGCACAGTGAAAGTTTCTCTTATCATAGCAGACATAGAAGTATTTGAATCATCATACACTTTATTCACTGTAAGAAAGGGCACTTTGCTCCCTTTAATGGTGTAATAGGACTAATTAACCTTGCAGTGCATTTGTATGCTAAGATTTAAACATTTTCAAGCTAGGTAATCAGGCTACATTAGCACAAACCAACTTCAACAGCCAGTGAAGTCAGTTTGCATTTTTCAGAGCTAATATTTCACAACACTGTAAATCCAAAAACATTGTACTATCAGATTGAAGAAGAGTAACAACTTATTCTGATGGTTAAGTGTGGCATACAGGACATAAAAAATGGACAGGATTTACAAGTGGTAGATTTATACACCAACACCAAACAAAAAACATGTTTGATATTTCACAGAGGAAGAGGTTTCCAGTATACATTATAGCTTAGCAAAAGCAAGGCAAAAAGGGAGTACAAATGTTGATAAAATGTTAAGTCTCGTTTTTCAAAACTCTCATAAAACATCCATTACAAGGAGTCAATCTTATGTCTCATTGCTTTTAACTTTAATAATTCATCTCTAGAATTACAGGAAGGATTAATTGTAACCATTTAGATAGAAAGTCTAATTAACAGTTACATATAAACATGGCCTAGCCTTCCTTTTTTATTTAAATAACAATCAATTCTTAGAAGATGACACTTCTAAGTATTTATTTAGCACAGCTACTATTTAAGTAGGGCATCAAAAGTTACTGCCAACTGCTTCATAGATCAGAGAAACAGCACCCAAGGCTTAAGACTCTACTCCTATGTATGGTGTACAGTACCTCGGAGGAGCCTTCATTGTTCACGTCCACGGCATTTCCTGGTGTGGCAGATGAATCCGAATCCGAGCTCTGAGATCCACCTCTACCCGGAGTCTGAAATAGAGGGGGGAGAGAAAAATTAGTGTCTACGGAGTGTATTGAAAAAAGCATGGTACATATGCTATACATAGGCCTCTCTTCAACTTGCTGGAATACAGAAGTATTTTCCCTCTACAAGAGTAATGAAGCAATAAGCAATTATTTAATTTTCACTACAACACTTCAACAAAAGCTTCTATCCCAGATTCTCCACACATCAAAGGACAAGCAGACACCAGAACCAAAGGCCAGGATTTTAAACCACTTCCTTGCCTGAACACTCAATACAAAGAAAGAATTAGGCTAAATTCTGCCCATATATCACTCACTCTGACCTTAAATTAGATATCTACATCCAACAGGAAAACACTAGAAATTACAGTCTAAACAATTTCAGAAGTAGTAAACTAGTATCATATGACTTTCTTGATAACTTGTCGACAATCCGAACAAGCCTTTAAATATATGAAAGACAGAAGAGTGAGGACCCTGCTAAAAAAATAAGCCCACAAGCAGGAACATTGCCTTCATTTGGAAAAAATAAAAATCAAGCCTGTGGTAAAGAGAAAATATGTTAATCAGTACGACAACCTATAAAAATAAACTCCTATGAATATGTTGAAGATCAGAACAACACTATTGACTTGAAACTATAGATTTAGAGAAAAGAGACAAATAAATTTGAAATACTACATGATTCAAAATCTGGATAGATGGATCACAGCTTATAATAATTATTTAACTGTAACTTTGATTTAAATTTAATGTCCCTTACTCATCTCCAGAATGCCACTGCTTGAACAACAGCAGAAGAGTTAGCATTCTCAAAGCAAACATCAAGAAAGAAATTATCTTAATACTGATATGCAATCTTAGTTTCAACAAAAAATTAAAGTTCATTACCCAATTCCATGATGACAACTGCAAATGGGAAGAAATAATGCTACTGCTGTAATTTAGCCCATCTGGAAATACTTGTTATGTTATAAAGGATTTTCTAACATAACATAGGGGGATTAAAGATACAGAATTTTATATATACGAGAGTCTCTACAGAGACACACACAGAAATAGATAAATAGTTTTAGTTTCTAGATCCTGGTGTCTCTAAAATCTTATTTGTTTTAGAATTTTCTTGCTCAAATATACATCCTCTTTTTTTCCAGACAAATCAGCTATATAACCTTTTATAAGATAACTACAACATGCATGCTTTTCCATACGTACTTTTTCCTGCTCTGTTTTGTAAAGAATGTTCTATTTCCAACTTTCATAAAAATAATAGCCTTTTATTACTAATCAAATAAAAAAAAAATATGTAAGGAAAAAGTTCAAGTTACTGATTAAGGACTTAATTCTCAGTGAGATATAGTTCAGTTTTAGAAAGGCTCCAAAGACTGGCCAAAGGGAAGTGAGGAGGAGTAAAGCATCAAGCTGTTGGGGCTGGCGACAGTAAGTTAAGGAAAGGATCATCTCTCCTCATTCCAGCCTTCTCTGAGGTCATCAGTTAAATGATCACATACACTGGTTTTCCTACTCCCTTACCTTTTTTATTTTAGACATTTTACATTTCTAAAGATAATAAGAACACAATATAGCTTCCTTCTAATGCAGCATACAAAAGCGATAAGCAAAGTGATGAAAGCTCTCCAAGTTAATAAATAGTGGGAGAGGCAAAAAAGGGTGTAAGCAAAGAATATGATGCACATATAAAGCACATCAAAGTGAAGGCATTAGTACTTCTCCGTCAGGTCACTGATACAGACAGTAAACAAGGCACATGACAGCATGGACCATGGGTGCACACTCATCAAGTTTTCATATGACATCAAACTGGGAAAACCAGTTGATACACTCACAAGGGCAGGGCTGCCATTCAGACGGACCTAGATGAGTTGGAGGAATAGGCCAGTGAGAACCTCATGCAATTCAACAGGGACAAACGCAGAGTCCTGTGACTAGGAAGGAACACCCCTAGCAGCATCACAGGCTTGTCTACTGAAAAGGACCTGAGGCTTGTGTCAGACAGCAAGCAAACAGGAGCCAGCAGCGTGTCCTGGCAGCAGAAGGGGCCACCCGCACCCTGGGTTGCATTAACAGGAGCCCAGCCAACCAACCAAGGGAAATGATTATCCCCCACTGGCCAGCACCCCTCAGACCACATCAAGATACTGCATCCAGTTTTGTCTCTCCCAGTCCAAGGAGGACATCGATAATCCAGGGTGAGTTTGGCAAAAGACTACCAAGACAGCTTGAGGCTGGAGCACCTGCTCTGTTGGGAGAGGCTGAGTGAATAGGACTGGCCCAGCCTGGAGCAGGGACACCCTTGGGGAGACCTAACAGCAGCCCTACCACCGCCTATGAGGAGGTCATCAGAAAGAAGAAACCAGGCTGCTCCCAGCAGCGCACAGCAAGAGAACAAGACACAGAAACTGAAACAAGGTTCCCACTGGACATAAGGAAAAGCTTCTCCAGCATGAGGCCAGGCCTGAGCGGCCTGCTCCTGATGTCCAAGCTGGTCCTGTTCACAGCAGGAGCTCAGACTAGAGAGCTCCTGAGCATCCTTCCCACCCAAATTGTTCTGTCATCTCTGAAACGCTGCCCTACAGAAACACGTCTTGCAGGAGAGCTGCAAAACACAAGTTTGTAATTCCGTTAATGAAGACATGGATTGTGTGCATTGACAGTTGGAGGAATAACAGCTAAAACTGTTAAGGTGTAGCCAAGTTTTTCAGCAAGACAGGTAAGTTAGAAGATTGCATCCAATGTTATAAACAGTTCAGTTTATATAGTTCAGAAGTTACTTTCCATGCAATCCATAAACCACAGTCAAGCAACTCAGAGGTAAGGCTCACTTGTGAATCCATTTTGTGTGAGAACAAAGAATCCAAAGATGATGTATACACACTTGTCTACATAAGGGAAGATGAAGAAGTCAGATGACACAGCTTTTTTCCATAAAGGAGCTGAATTTTCTTAACATAAGAATCAAATTCTTATTAAGAGGAATTCTTTAAAAGGCCTTAGAAATCTGAACATGATAAAAAGGCTTTCGTATATCAGTTAGCTATGGCGGCTGTTCTGTTCTAGAAAGCCTGAGAACTTGGACCCTTATCTGTTCCAGCATTACATCCACAAGTAGAAATGGGATGTTTTGAAATGGAGAAAGTGTCATCATTAATGGATATGCACTTCTTTACTAATACTTTACAAGAAAAAGAAGTCTTTTGTTCCACTCTTCAGCTCCAAAACATGAAGTATATGCCTTCATGTAGCCTTGCACAGAAACACATGAGAGCAGAGGGAGAACCTGCACAAAACTGCATAATGGTAATAAGACCTGGTCCAACCGCCTCTTCCAACAGGCAGCACACACCTCCACTTTTGCAATACCCGACCATATGTTTCCAGCATACCCAATGAAACATTTTGTGCCAAAACCAAGAATCTTCCATGATGATTAACACAGTATTTTCTTCACCTTATATTGGAACTTCTTATACAATGCTCCTGTGCATTGTTAATCACCCGTCGCATTTCACCCCAGAGTTGACTGCATTTTGCAACCAGATTTCCATATTAAATTCTGCTAGTTCTAGGACTACAAACTGGAGATTATTAAAACCTCCAGAATGAAAGGTCTTATATTAAAAGTACAGTGTTATTACTACATGGTTGATTAAACTATTTGCTTTATGACACACTTCAGAAATGCTATAATTACACTAAAAGGCACCACATGGCATGTGTTATTACACACAGCATACAAGACAGGAATTACTAAACTGTACCTGGTAAAATCCTTTTAACCTTTTAAAAAATAGCATGCTCTCTTCAGAAGAAAAGCATAATTCCAAGATATATTTAAGAAGCTTAGTACAAATAGGTGGTATTTTCTGGTGAGTGGCATGCACAGGGAAGAAGGGTGGGAAGGAAAGAGGTCATTAAGTAACTCTCAAGATCTGGGAAAAACCTTGTAGCATCCATTTGCAAAGTAATACACACTAGCAAGACAAATTTAATACAAATTTGGAAGGATGCTATGGAAACCAAGACCATAAATGCCATTAACTTGTCTTTCAAAGCTGTACTATAATTCAAACATCCTTCACCAACCCAATAAAGAACAGGGGATTGGGAATATTTTTTTAATTGATCATTGCATTATCAAATAGGTTTGCACCTATGTTTAAGAGAGGCTCCCAGACCACCGTTGTATCATGTTCCATTAAAAAAAAAAATCATAACACACGGAAAAACTCTTTGTTTTCACCTGGACTATACAGGGGAGCAAAAGAATGACTCAGGAATCCCACAGGAAAAGTAGATTTTCACCCAGGCTTCTGAATATGTGTTTTTACAAAATTAACATTTGACCCTTAAAGGCATACCTGGAGTTGAAAGACTGATGCAAAATTACTCTCTCACCCAACATATTTCTTTCCTAGCTGTCAGAGTTATATCTGTTTACTTTGCGAAAAATCATGTCTCTACTACTACCACTAGAGTTGTAGAAGTAATATGCTAAACTTCATAATGTTGTTCTCTGCTTTCTCAAAACTGCAAGCTAATAGAAAGAAACATCATTAACAACAAAAAGGACAACAAGGATTGCAGCTTGTTTTCTGAAAAGGAATAGAGAATTATATAGTCAATTAATCTTAACACATTAAGATGATGGAGTATAAACATTGATCGCTACTATGTCATTTTTGCATAGTCATTTATCTGTATATAGCTACACTTCAGTCATGATACTCTTTTTCAGCAGTTTTCAATTCAGAATAAATTAAACCTTTGAAAAAAATGTTAAGCCTTGAGAAAGTGTTACCAAATATGTATTTATACAGTTTTCCCAGCAGAGATTTAAATACTACAGAAGGGTCCTATTGTCCAAACATATTGAGTTCCTGAAGGAACAGACAAGACACAAGAATGAGAAGGCCAAAGCCCTTGTTATCAAACAACTCTCAATGCTAGAAACAGAGTATAGTGCAATAGAGAAGAGTAATACTGTTTACTTCTAAAGAAGTGTGACACTATTTTATGATTCCGTAAAACAAAATACTCCTGACTTCACAGGGCATAAAACCTTTCTTTCCCACTGCGCCATCAGTTCCATGCAAGCAGACCCTGTGCCCAGGAAGAGGCACACATTCTCCTTTCAACCCCACAAGGAGGGCTTGAGTACAGCTGCAGAGCTGCATAAATCCAAGTAAACACACTATCTAGGAAGCCCTGCAATCATAAACATAAAAAAGAGAATTATAGGTAAGGCATGAGATGCAATGCATCCCAGACATGTAAATATCTCTACTCCTGAGCCTGGAGTAAGAGAAAAAGTGACAGTACTACCTGAGCTACAGAAATGCCTGCAAAGTCCTGTTCTCCACCTAGACTCCAAGAACTCAAACACCCTTAGTAACAGAGCAATAGGATCTTACAACCCAAATACAGTACAACCGCTAACAGCTGTAGACAGCCAGTTAAAGACAAAGAATGAAGGTAAAAACTAATGTAAACAGTAGTCACAGTGGCCCAACAGACAAAACGTGAGCAATGGGAAGAAGGCTCAGAAGAAGGTCAAAGTAATCAGTTTTTCACCAGCTGAATATAAATGCTTCCTCCTTACAAAAGGGGGGGTGTCGGTGGTGGTGGGTGTTGCAGTGTTGATTTTTTTTCCCCTAAGTTTTGGTATCTTCCAAATGTAAGAAGTGAGCTCTGCTTTCACAGACTAGAGGCAACAGCCACTGTCCCACTAGCAGAGGAACTACGGGGAGCAGACACAATGACCACAAAGGGCCTTCAGAGTTGAACATAATAAAGAAAAGACAGCTCTCTAAAGAATACACTGACAAAAATCAAAATATCTGGGCAGGAAGGTTGTGTCTTGGATATTCCACACAGATGTCTTTTAGTAAAGACTACCTTTTTCTAGATCCAGAACAATGCATGAAACTGAGAAGTGGCAAGAAGGAATGAAAGGGAGGTTTACAATACAAACATACAGAACAGATGGATCCCTGAGATGTCACAAACATACAAAAAATTTAGAAACAGATTTCAGGGAAAGGACCTAAAATGAGGACCTAGTTGGAAGACAGCATGGAGATACTAAATTTAAAAACTAAATTATTAATGTTCAGTAGTAAAAAGTATATAATACTTTCTACTTTGAAAACGTCATTCAAAGTCACCATGAAGATGCTTTTAAAAACAGAAATCA